GGCGCGGCTGCAAGGACCGGTGCTGCTGCAGCAGCTGGTGAAGCTGCGTGGTGCGTCCATTCAGCTCACGCTGGTGTCCGTCGTGTCAGACGCGAAGGGGACGGCGATCGCGGTGCGCAACGAGGGGGAGTTCCCCTGCAAAAACGCTCATCCACACATCACCGTTGCGAACGCGCCGGGTGTCCCGGCCGTGTACAGCAACGAGCTGCTGGACGATTCGCATGCGAGCGACCCGTGCCGCGCCGTCGTTCCCCTCCCCGCCGGCACCTGCATTTCCGGGACATTCGGCTTCGCTTTCCACTGACCGCCGGAGACACTGCGGTGCCCGCCCCGCTACTGTGATGGCTCCCTGCGCTCCCCTGCGTTTTCTCTCCCCTGCTTGTGCTCAAATACCTCTGGTGTGCATCGGTGTCTCTCCTCCACCACAGTTTTCCTTCGTGCCCTAGGCTGAGTCCCCACATGTTTCCGCACGGCGGTGGCTGTGGGCCGCTGCCCCACCCACCCACACAGCGCAGGCGTGGAGAGGTGGGCGGCAACGTGCAGCGGAGTCGGGTGTGCCCGTCTGCCGCGCGTGTCTACCGCTTCCTAACCGACGACGTCGCCACGCAGAACAAGGCGTGCAGCAAAGTGCTTCAGGCGCCGTCGGCAGCAGTGTTTAACTCCACAACCTTACTGAATGACGTATCTTATGACGTCACTGTACCAACTGTTGTTTTGACAGTGTGGCAGGACACAACATTAGCTGATATTGCAATGTTAGTGCTGGAGGGCGTTCGTGAAGATATTGATCGTGTTTTTCTGGCGACTCAAGGAGGTACTAAGGGCGGAGTGGAGAGTGATGTGTGTAGTCTTACCTCTCGGTGTGCGGCATACGTAGTAAAATTATATTCAGGTTCTGTGGACGCGAATGGCACTGCAACACTGTGTGCACTTGCCACAATTGAACTGCGGCAAGTTGTGAGTCAGACGCCTTTTGTTTTCCCTGTGCGCTGCTTCTCTAGTTTCGAGGTTGATACGACTGTGTCGCGATTGCCGTACAGATTGGGTGATCCTTTTTTTTTACGTGTGTGCGGGTGCAGTAATGCGTGAAGCGTTGGCAATTTGGAGATGTTGTTGATGGAAGTAATAGAGGGAGGTTAAAAGAGAGAGAGAGAGAGAGGGTGAATGGAGGGCTGCTCACACTGGCACGTGGAACTGCCTCTACTGAGGGAACTGGTACGATGGATGCGTATTCAGTTGGAATTGTGGACTGCCGTTGATGTTCTGCCCTCTTCACGTTCTATCTCCTACTATCTATTTTTCTTCTTTTTTCTTTTTTTTGCTTGACTTGGGCCGGCCCCGCCACTTGAAGTTTTTTGTCGTTGTTGTCGCCTCTGCGCTGGGAAGGCGGCATTCAGCAAGCTCGTGTGCCGTACAATTGCAGCTGTGCGACGCCATTAGGGCGGTAAAGATGGACGGCGTCAAGGGAAAGTCTGCCATGCTGATGACCAGAGGCATCATGGAGATGCGACAGAATCCGCCTGGGCTTATTTGTACCATCCGGCGGTTTAAGCATCCTGCCACGCAGAAGGAAGTTACGCTGTACCCCGTCCCCAGCATTGCCGCGCCGCATTACTTTAGACGAGTTCTGGACGGTGACGCTTTGGCAAGAAACTTTGATAAGGTGCTATGTGAGGACGGTAGACTGCCCTTTAAGGCGGGATCGCGTTTGGCGCGGCGGCAGCAGGTCCTGAGACGCATGTTTCCTTTTATTGGGCTTAGGCCGGTGTCCGATGAGGGCAGTAAGTTTGATGGAATTGTTCAGCGCGACCCAGTGGAGTCTCGTATGGCGTATCAGATGGTCTTAGATGGCGCAGATCCGCCCGTTGACCCGCGGGCACGGCGTGCCATGGAGCGCATCGAGACATATCCGGACGGTACACGTGTGGTGTGTCCGTGGGGTGTGTATCATATCGTTTACATGAACCACAAGCTTCGCCAGCTAGGATACGTGGCGGAGGACGAGGAGACAGTGGAGGTGGTGGGCTACAGGGAGGCCTTGCTTGTCTCAGGCATCTTAGTAGTGTTGACCTTTTGGATGGCCTACGCGGTCCTTAGAATTATTTTCGGGTAGTAGTATGTGTACGTGGAGGAGGTGGTGGAATGGACATCTCAGTGGGTACTGGGGAGGAGATCGGCACCTCTGCATGTCTTTCTTGTAAGAAGAGGTTTACCTGCTTACGCTCGATACCTCGTTCTTTTGTTCTTGTTTGTTTGTTGTCTTTCTTTCAGAGGGTTCGCGTTTCCTTGCGGTGGTATCACCCGCACCCACACCCTGCACCACCCCGCACGTGTTGCACGGAGTTTTTACTCGTCTTTTTTTTTCCTTTTTTTGTGGCGCTTTGTATGTATGTGTGTGTGTGTGTGTGTGCTGCAACAACAGTAGCAGCAACTTCCAGAGGAGAGGGGTAGTGGCGCTCCCTCCCCACCCCGGCAGCGCAGATGGAAGTTCTCAAGGAACTCCCCAAGTCGGGGCTGGACGCGCTTCGAAACAAATTTCTTCTTCGTGAGCACGTGGGTGGATTGACGGAGGAGGAGTTTGAGGAAGTGTTGCTCGGTGTGTGCGCCAGCCACAAGCAGGTCACCGCCCCCACGAACGCCACGGTGCGAAGAGTCTTCGCCAGCATCGACATCCTTGGACTTGGCCGGATTTCATGGGACGCGTTCTCCATGTACGCCATTGATTCCCTGCGACAGCGCGGGTACCACCCGTTAACTGGGAGGGAGGCGGAGGCGGAGGTGGAGGAGGCGCCGTTTCACCCGTATCATGTGGAGCAGCTCATGCGGAAGGTCCACGCGGGGTGCGTGCAGGAAATGCGTGTGCTGCCCACGCTTGGGAAGGTGATGGTCGTTACCACAGCGTCCGGCGGTCGTTGTAGCATGAACCTCTGCGAGATGGCGCAGAATCTCCCCTTGTTTGGTATCATCCGCCTGGAGTCTGGTCAGCCGCTTGCGTGGGACTTTATTCCGCAGACGGCGGGGGGTGGATCGTGCAACAGCGTTGTCTGCTCTTACAATGGGGGGGTCGTGCAATTGTTTAGCACCGCAAGGAAAAGCTACACTCATCGCTATCTGGACAAATCCTGGCAGATGCCTCTCTCGGATACTCAAAGCGCTCTTCACTGGGTTCCAAGCATCAACCGCCTCGCGATGGGTAGTCGTAGAGGCTTAGTGACGCTTTGGGATATGAAGGATCGATCGCCGGTGCTGCGCAAGCGACTTACTCGGCAGTACATCACCTCAATACAGAGTCAAAAGCAGCTGCTCTACGTGGCAAGTCTGGACTCCCGTGAGGCCGTTCGGTGCCTGGACCTCGAACAGAACGCTGTGATGTACACATTCAGTGACCACAGCATAGGCGGTGCGACGCAGCTGTTGGTGGACGATGAATTTTTGTTTTCTATCGGGTTTGAGCACGGCATCGTGCAGCGACCGCTGGCACTTCCGAGGTCCGAGCCTGTAATTCTGTGTGACCCTTCACTCCCGCACCAAGGCGGTATTACTACCCTACAGCGTCTGAGTGGTACCCCGCTGCTGGTTTCGGGGGACGTGAAGGGAAATCTGAAGTTCTGGGACCTGCGCATGGGTAACTGCGTGCAGAGCATTAGGGGCCGAAAGGCTTTCCGTGGCAGCGACAGTCACACACTCCCGGATATACAGTATGGCGCCGCTGTGTACTCTGCAGCTCCTGTGCGTAGCATTTGCTACCTTGAGTTCTTTGGAAAGCTGACTGTTGCAACCGCAAAGGAGCTTCTTGTTCTCACCGCGGATGCCTCCCTTTGCCCGGCGCTCGTTGATGACAGTCACATTTGCCGCTCTGTTTTTTTTCCAAACCCGGAGTTTTTCCTCACTGTGCACATCTTGTCCGTTAAACTGTGGTGCATCACTACAGGCGCACTAGTCAGATGCAGTGAACCGAATATTACAAGGTTTGAAGTCACGTCATGCTGTTTGGTGGAGCCGCACAACCAGCAGCTGCTGTTGGGAACCATGGGGGGTGAGTTGAAGGCTTTTTCTGTGTCACTGCTGCAGTTGACGGTGAATCTGACGCCCGCCGTTCAACCCTACATTCACGGTGCGGAGGTCACAGCTCTGCACCCGGTGGCGGGGTACCGCGGAGAGCGTATACCATATGTGCTGGTTGGGACAACCTCTACTGTGCTTCTCGCACCGGTCTATCCAGACTGCGGTCCAGAGGCCGTTATCAACTTTCAAGGAATTGTGAGGAGTTTCATGCCTTGGAAGCAAACCATCAGGGCGGTGGCGGTTACAGAAAGTTATTTTATTTTGGCGACGTCAGATGCACGTGTGCATTGTGTCAACTACCGCGGCATCGTCTCTCTCACTCACACGTTTCACATGTCAGTTGATGTGGAGGCGATTGTTGCAGTCCCCGCGCTCATGTTGAGGCGGCCTCAGAAGGGCATGACGTTGAAGGAACTTCAGTTTAACGAAGTCATGATCTTCTGCGTGGATGTTGTAGGTCGTGTGCACATCGCAACGATGCGGCAAGGCCCCCCAAGGACGAGAGGCAGACATGCAACGGGGCAGTGTGGGGAGCGCCACCCCCAGTTTTTTGGTGAGATGATTGGAAGTTGGCTCTCGCACAAGCCTGGCAGTTGGGTGGAGGGTGAAGTGGTGGAAGTGTTGCGGCAACAGGACCTTGGGCGTTTCCCCTTGCAAAAGAGGTCCTCTGTTGTTCTCAATTGCAAAGGGGGTCTATCCCATTCAATGAGGTCGGAGCTGGGAGGTGGCACGCTTGGCATGCCTGCGCTAGATACAGTGACAGGCTGCGCAGTTAGTATCGTTCTCCTGGAGCAGTACAGTGTGCTGGTGACCGCAGATGACGAGGGCACCGTGCGCCTATGGGACGTCGGCAGTGCCGTGGCGCACTGCCTGGATGAAGGCGTAGCGGATGCCCCTGTGCTCATCACCGTGTGGCGACGAATAGACAGAGAAGTCATCTTCTTTGGCGCTGCCAAACATCCAACGTTGAACCTCCCGCTGCTGTTCACGGCGACGAATGATCTGCAGGTCACACTGTGGTCGGCGGACGGATACGCGTTGGGGACGCTCTCGACTGGGCGCGAGGTGGACGAGGCCTCCGGCGGGCGCCGGTTTGGTCTGGTGCCGTACAGGTTGTTGTCAGCGGATACAACCGAGGCTCTATGGGCGAACTTTTTGGCGTACATGGAGCAGGCGCACGCGGCGGATGCGCAGCGTGTCAGTCGCCTGCGCACACGCCGATGCTCGACGGTGGCCCCCAACGTTTTGCATTGGGAGGACGCGTCGATGGGGCAACCGCCCTCACAAGCAAACTTCTTACTTGGAAGGCGGGTGTCGCGATCGTCTGTTATATTGCCTCAGTTGGGCCCTACGGCGTCCGCGGCCTTTTGCTGCACTTCGAAAGAGGGTGTTTGCACGCACAGCACTTTCACCCACCGCGACAAGGAGAAAATTGACGACCCAGAGGAGCCCGGTAGCTCCATTGTAAAGCCTAGCTACCAACGCCTCATCACCCGCACTGTGGCGCCTTTCTCGCTCAGACGCACTGGCGGCGCCTTCCTCCCCCACTGAAAATGTGGCTCATGTGCACAGCAGCAAGCTTTGCCAGCGGTGGCGAAGTGTCAGGGGGGGGGGGACGTCATTGGCAGTCTTAACGTGAGGGGTGTAATGCGACCGTCGGTTGCGGCTTTCACGTTAATGTTTTTTTATTGTTTTTTTGTTTTGTTCTTTTGGTTTAATTTTTCATTTGCTCGTTTACGCTCGCGGAGGTGAGGCCTTGAGATGTTATTTTCCTCTTCTCTTTTCTCTTCGCTGGCGCGTATGTGCGTGGTGGGGAGAGCCGCCCCTGCGACCTCCATTTGCTCCGCATAAGTGGCTCAATGCTTGAGTCACGGCGGCAGTCTTTTCTTCCGATTGTTTGTGCTTACCTTGCAGGTTTGTGGAATTTTTCTTCTTCTTCTGCTGCAACTTTTACTGCTTTCTGCTTCGTTTTTGTTTTTTTTTTCATTTTTTTGATTTTCCGTACATTTTTCCCCCACCTGCGTTTGGTGGGTTGTCTGCCGCTGTCGCCGCCTACCGCTGGTATTGTTTTTGACGCCTCTCGCCCTCCCTGCTTTAGCGATTTATTCTTTTTTTGTTGTTGTTTTCGTTCTCACGCTTTATTTCTTCTGTGCCCTGCTGCTGCACCGCCCGGCCGTCGGCCCCACTTCGTGCACACACCTAAAGGGTAGCAACGCAGCTAGCGGGAGCGAGGAAAAACGTAACACACAGCAGGGAAGGCGTCGTACGGAGGAAGATGCCCCCAAAACAGGACAATGTGCAAATGCTCCTTGCTGCGGAGCAGAAACGCAATAAAATCATCACCGACGCCAAAGCGCGAAAGCAGGCAAAGGTGAAGCAGGCGAAGGCCGATGCGGAACAGGAGGTGGCCGCGTTCCGGCGGGAGAAGGATCAGGAGTACGAGCAATACAGGAAGGAGCAGCTCCGCATGGCCGATATGGAGAACTCGGAGTTGGCACGCGGAACAGAACTGCAATTGCAGGAACTTCGCGCACTCACCGCACAGCGCATGGACTACGTTGAGAAAATGATGGCCACACTGATTCTGCAGTGTGCGGAGCCGTAATACTGGAAACAGAAGGAACCAAGAGCGGAAATCGCTTGTAGAGGAATTTCACACATGCATGTGTGTCAGGCATTCCCACACATATATACACACGCTCTCTCTCTTGCAATATGTGTGTGTGTTTGGGTGCGCTTGAAGGTGGAGGTGGAGATCGCCGTTTACATGCGGTTGTGCCTCAGCAACATATTCAGGATAGAACGAGTGAGCAGGGAAGAGAGAGCCAGGCGTGTGTATGTATGTGGTTCTGGTGGCTGTGATTGTGGTAGTTGGAGTAGAACGTGGTAAGGAGAAGGAATGCATGCGCGCGTGTGGGCGTGTATACGCCACACTCAGGTAGGGCAGGGGAGGCGGGTGCTCGTTTCCCCGCCTGTGTGTTGCGGTTTGTATTTATCTAACAGGCTGAAGAATATCCCTCATGCTCTCTTTATATCCCTTTCTGTGTCTGTGCCTGTGTGTGGGTATCTCGCTCTTGGGTTTTTGCCGCCCTTCCATGTCGTGGTGACCTCCGCGCGTCTCTTCGCTTTCCTCTTTTTAGGCCAGGTAATTGTGTATTGGGCCGACGGCGGCAGCAGTGCTTCGTACTTATTATCTCGTGAGAGAGAAGGTAGAATATAACTCTTCCCCTCCACCCACCCACTTACCCACTTACCCAAACTGCGCGTACGCAGGGATTTTAGGCAACGCCTTACATCACGCTCTGGGCACTGAACCCAGCGGTAAGAACGTAAAAAGAAAAAAAAAGAGGAAGGAAGCTGATAAAAGCTCTGCTTCACCCACCCACGCATAGGGGGCAAGACACACACATACACCTTTTGTTACCTCGCTGCCGCTGTATCCATTATTCGCTGCGCACGGATACACGCAGCCATATACATACATATATTAGTCATTCATTTAACTTCCACCCCATCAGGCGTGAAAGGGTAAAGGTAGGAAATGACTGCGGCCAATGGTGAGCAAAAGACACCGGTGGTGTTGCGGGACACGCTGTTTATGTGGGATATTGTGGCGTCCTTCAGTGCTCCCCAGACGGTGTGTGTGCTGGAGCGCCTTTGCCGCGACGTTCATGAAACCTTGGCATTTAGCTCCACCGGTACCCGTCTCCTGCAGCGCTACTGGAACGCGCAGTATCATAAACTTATTTGGGAGGAGAGTCACATTGACCCCACACGGCTGACGCTCGATTTTGCCCTCACCCGGAGCGAGGGACGGCGGAGTTGGAAGAAGATGTACCGAGAGGAGTACCCACTGTACGTGGCGCGGACCCTTCTGGGGAAGGGGGCCAACAACAACGCCCTCAACATGGCGAAGGTGTGTTTTAAGGTGGACCATATGAACGAACTCCTGTCGGGAGAAGAGCTCGCAAAGCTGGAGCTCACCCCGCAGGAGGCGCTGGCGCGTCGGGTAGAGAGGAACCTGGTGAGCCTGGAGGGCGAGGAGGTTCGTAATGCTCCCCCGCTTAACGACGGCAACGGCAATGGCGCGCCACAACAAAACGATGCCGCGGCGCAGAAGGGCTCACCGCACCATTCAACGAATAAGAAGGGCAGGCGAAAAGGAGTTCGCGCTGAACGGCACGAGGCGAGGAAGGGCCCCGCGTTGGGGCTTTCGCGTGACGACTACAACAACGACAGGCGCCTCAGCAAACACAGAGAGAAGCACAAGAAGGGCAGGGTGGGGCGTTGGAGCGCCTTTGCTGGCGGCGAGGGGGAAGACGATTAGCTAAAGGATGAGAGGCCTGTGCCGCCACCTTCCAGTCCTGCCTCGACGGGACACTGACATACCAAGGGGGGAATGGGGGCGTGGCGTGGGTGCTGCATGACCTCCTGCCATCTGCCGCTGCTGGGTACTCATTGATGACCAGAGGGGGAGGGGGAGGCTCTTCCTTTTACTATTATTTCTTTCTTTCTTTTGCGTGTGTCTTCTTGTTTTTTTTCCGCGCCTGGCGAACAGTAGGGGAGAAAAAAACGAAAAGCAAAAATTGTCCCCTTTCAATACTTACACTGACGATGGCTCCATCTGAAAGAGTCATCATGGTTGTGGCTGACTGTAACAGAAGAGGCGAGAAGCGATTATTTTTGGGCAGTCGTGTTCCATGAAGTTTTGCATACATGCATGTACACCAGGCTGTCACCATCTCTTCCTCCCTTTTTTTCCCCACGCACACATTTTAAAGGACTATTGACGGCTCCCGGTCGCTACCGCTTCTGGTGGGGTGGATGGGGTACTGAGGGGTGGCGGCAATGGGAAGCATAACAAGGAGACGCAAAAGGAAATTGCTGCTGCCGCTGCTGTTGACTACTGCCGCTGCGCTTTGGCTGCTCCTTGTGTATTTCACGCTGTGGATGGTGGAGCGGCGGGTGGTATCTACTCCGGCGACGCCGGCGTTGGTGGCAGTGGCTGTCAAGGAGGCAACAGCAGTCGTTGTCAACGGACCCACCTCGGTAAATAATCAGCCCTGGGCGTCGATACTAACGAATTTGATGGCGTTAGGATACGAGCGAGAAGCACAGTTTGATTTGAATTACCGCAGTGCATGGCGTTGGCCAAACGGGTCATGTCCAATGGCCGCAGCAGGCATCCTGCCGCTCGTGGCGCAAAGCCGGCACGCCCCCATCGCCTATCTCACATTCATCTCCAATGAGAAGTTTGTGGATGGGGCCTTGGTGCTTGGCGCGTCACTGCGCAACACCTCCCGCTTTCTTCAGCACGGCGTGGCGGACTTAGTTGTCATGGCCACCGTCAGCCGCATCAGCGAGGCGTCGAGAAGACGCCTGCTTAACGAAGGAGGATACACGCATGTGTTTGAGGTCCCCTCGCTGGCCCAACGCGTTCACGCGACTTCGGGCCTCTTTCGCGACACACTTGACAAGATATACATGTTTAACCTTACCATGTATGAGAAGCTTGTATATATGGATGCCGACATGATTGCGATACGCAGCATGGATAGTCTTTTTTCAAGGCCCAGAGTGCGGGGGCCGGACTACGTGGCGGCGGTGGGTGGCAAAGGCTACTTTCAGACCGGCATGATGATTATCATTCCAACTCAAGAGATGTTTAACTGCATCTACGACCGGCTTATTCGTGGAACGCCGCCAAATGGACGTCGGTTTATCGGTTCCTCAGCCCGTGATGGGGCACTGCTGCGGGATGTTTTTCAGACACACTTTCACCCGATAAACCCAATGTACAGCCGCAACCTTAATCCCCGATATCGTGTGGACATGAAAATTCCAGGTGAGGGAACCGTCGTGGCTGTTCACCTGCGTGGCATAATAAAGCCATGGTTTGACCGGCGGTTGCCAAACTTGCAAACTAAATTGGGCAAGAAGGAGTTTGGCTTCACCTACCTGCATTGGTGGACCCTGTATGAGGAAAAAATACACAAAAAGAGCGCCCACTACGTGAAGATGCTGCAGATGCAGTCGGAGGGACGTGCATCGGGTTCCGAAGCCGTTGTAGTGGACGGCATCGCGTTTGGGATGGATCGCACCGACGCGGATGGTACGCCCGTCTCTCCCTTAACACACGTGTGGATGCAGCGGTACTCCGAGGATGCATACACTCAGCTTCTCTCGTCTGAGGAGAAGCGGCGACGCAATCGTACAATGCCGTCCATGCAAAAAATTCCTAGTCCAACGTTTGGTCTTTCATGCGATGCCGTGTGTGCTCAACGGGGGCTGCGATGTGTCTCTGAAGCGCTTTACTTCACCTCACTCAATGACTGCGCGGAACTGCAGTCGGTGTTTGGATGCAGGCGGTGCGAGCTGGGCGTCTACTGGCGGCAGCACCCCGGGAGTGACTTCCCCGCCCTGGAAGAGGTCTCGCAGGAGACGGAAAATAAGAAGAGCCAAGGGCATAGGCAGCACAGGAATAACTCGACCAGCCTCGTGTGTCGGTATAACTACTTGCACGATGAGCGTGGGCTTCCCAACTGCACGGCTAGCCACTCGGCCACTCGTCGCTACTGCCCCTGCGTGCCCGTCTCATGATACGTAAATCGCACTCTCCATTTGACTACTGTGCGAATCGCTGCCATCTGCTGCATCCCTCGCTTTCGCTCTTTCTTTGTGAATACAACTGTGAGAGGAGGCGGGAGATTCGTCCTTGGGACGCCCTCCCAGTTTCCACGTATTGTGGTCGCGTGCCAAATCTCGCGACGTCTGCGGATGGCTTGTCTCCCACGACTTGACGCGGCTGGGTCGTGAGGGCTGCTTCGCTGCCTACAGAAGAACCAAAGCTGCAGTGAGGTTCTACTGACCGATGAACGCACACAACAAGAAAACGAAAAAAAAAAAGAGGGAGGGGGAGAAACTGATGGTAACCATTATCGCCTTCCATCGACACGATGAAATCAACCTCCTGAAAGCTGGGGGAGGTAATGGAGGCAAAAAAAAAAAAATGTATGCTTGGGCTCACTTCTTTGCTTGTTTGCTTTGCCTTCTTTACGCGAAGGCTGAAGGAGGGGGGCACCACAGAGGGAGTGGAACCTCTCTGCCTCGCGTCACAGTTAAGCGCTGGTGCAGCCGCAACCCACATTTGCTGATGCGTTGAATGCAAATAAAACACCACGCAGCACACGTGTAACGCCACTCACACGCATCCATACATGCGCATCGGGCTTCATTACGGCCTTAGCTCGTCTCGTTTTTTTCTTCTCTCTTTCTTTCTTGCACTGAGCGTCGCCCAACGAGGCTGACGCCGCACAATATGTTGTTAGCGTGAAAGATGGAAAGCGTCCTTCACATAAAAAGTCAATTTATTTGGTAGCGATGCGGCGACCCGGGTAACACACGACGACACTTGCAGGGGCAGCTGTGGCAGCGGCGGTGGTTGTGGAGTGCTCGTCATGGGTTCTTTTTACATCGTTGCGGGGGAAGTACGTGCGCCAACCGAGCCCGCAGTGGGATCCGCTGCACGAGGACATCGACGTACACGTGAAGAAGCGGATTCCAGGGGAGACACGTGTGGACCGGGTTCGGCGTTTTGCGCGTGAGTGGCGTAACGTGGAGCTGGAGCTGGGTGTTTACGAGGATTCCCGTGGGCGAGAGATCAAGTACCGAAAAACCTTCGTATATCGCTACACGTATCCCAACACGTTTGATGAATTCTGGTGGCCGTGCAAATGAGGAAGTATAGCTGGGTAGAAACAGTAAGCGTAGCGAGCACATGTGGGATTGAGATACAATAGGAAAGGGGGGGGGGTTAAAACTATACATCTACGTATGTATGGTAGGTATGGAGATGGATTGGGGATGGGGTATGAGTAGGATTGACGGAGTTATTGTATTTCGCGAGCTCCTGGGCCCGTGTGTAGGTGTAGGTTTGATGTTATAGCGCGTGTGCGCCTGTGAAGAGAGGTTTGCATGACAGTAGTGCTACGGAAGAGAGAGTTACGTTACCAGGGCCTCTCGCCAGGTGTATCTTACGGACTCAGTTTGAGCTGTGGATGTGGCAAGAGAAAAAAGTTCAACCTGAACCGATGGGGAGAGAGAGGGAAGAAGGGAGGGGTTGTGTTCCCGTTATCTCTCTCTTTCTGGGCGACTTGTGCGTGCTTGCGTGTTCGTGCGGGTTGGGGCCAATGCCAGCTTCCCTGATGTTGTTGTTGTTGTTTTTAACCTGCCCGCATTATCTGCATGCCGTTTGCGGGACATGAGTACATGTTTTTTTTCTTTTTGCGATACAACAAGAGAAAAAAAAGAAAAATACGCAGCAGCGGAGTTCGGCTCTGCGGCACGCTTCTCCACCTTGCAAAAGGAGGTGAAGGCCGAATAGGTAGAGTGGAACACGTGGCCTGTGATGGCTGATCGCAGTGAGTCTCTGGGGATATCCCCCATCCCTGTAGAAAGTAACGATGATGAGGATGACGACGGCTACTCCTCAGGTCAGTTTCGCCTCATTGCCCGCCGCATGAGCCGTGCGCTGCTGCGACACCCACAGTTAGCGTTGTTTTCTAGCAACCCACATGCCATGTATGAGGCTCTACATGAATTTTTTGCGCAGTGGTCCGCTCGCCAGCAGCGTGCGTCGTCTCTTAGTATCACAGTGGGACAGGTGACGAAACTGCTGCAGTACGGCGAGTCCACTATACGAAGAGTGAGTCTGGCAGGTTCTGTGCTCGCGCGGGCGCACACGGCCGCGGAACTTATTGCTGCCTCCCCTCTCATCACCATGGAGGCTCTGAAGCAAGAGCTGCAGGGCCTGGGGGTGCGAGCGGGGATGTTGCCTCTCGCGGAGATTGTGGAACTCGCACGCGTGATTGACGATGCGCAGGGCCTTGCAACACCTTTTGGTGCACTCAACCTTGTGCACGTCGTGTCCCTTAGCGCGGCCCTGTGTCCGGCGCCGGACATGGGAACCCTCCTGCTGACGGTGTCCACCAGCCTTCACCACCGCCTGTTGTGTGCCGCTGTTTTCTACGAGTGGGCCTTGATTGATGTTTCGAACAGCAACGCTCTGCGGGAGTTGTCACGAAGGGTGGAGGAGGCGCCGTCTGATGACGCAATCGGGGACGTCGTGAGATCCCTACTTAAGGGGAGCTTTGAGGGCCTTGGAAGTCAGTCCACGGATCCTGCGGTAACTGATACTCACGCCGAGGTCATTGCTTCGTCCCCTGACGCTGTTGCGTCATCCGCCCCCTGCGTTTGCCCCCAACGTAATGGGGAAACGTCCCCTGCCACACCGCACGACGATGGCAACGACGCCGGTGAGTCTGACGCGGAGGAAATCGACGGTGGGGTGACTGACACGGTGGATGTGGAGTTTTGGCGTCGACTTTGCAATTGAAAGTGACGACATAGAAACAGTGAAGGTGCTAAGGCGGTCTCGGGTCCCCCGTGCATGGGGCCATTTCTTGTCATCTTCTATGGGCCTCTGCATACCCCAGTCCCTTTCCACTCCTTTTCTTCTCTCAGATTTTTCCTTGCTTTTTTTCTTTGCCTTTTCGGGTGGAACGGGGAGTCCTTGCTTGTGAAGGATGTGTGAGAGCGCCTTGTGGCTTCGTCGGCGGTGCCTGTTTCTGTCTGATGAGGCTACAGTAGGGACGGCGCTCCGGTGTTCAGAAGTGGCGAAAAAGGCAGATGACATCTTGCTCCGCGTGCAGGCGTCGCGAAGCGGAGCGGTGGACGGCGCTGGTGACTTGTCTGCCTGCACCCACCGCTGGATGGAGAGCCGCCAGTTTGCGGATTGGCAGGAATGTGTCGAGTGTTTGCTCCTCAGTGTGGAGTGGCGGCAGGAACGGGGTGATGCAGCCACCGCAGAAGGCGCGTTATGCAGGCAGGCGTTGCTGGAGTTGACTGCCTTGTTTGCGGACGAGGCGCGTGCGTACGATGCTGCAGCGGCCTCCTATGCCGAGACTTACTGGAGGAAGGCGCAGAAGCGGCAGCGCGTGTTGGCTAGCAGCGAGCCCAGTGAGAAGACTACTTTGGTTGGGGCGCGTGTGAGTTGGAGTATCGCGGCGGAGTTGCCGCTGCGGGTGGAACAGGCGTTTTTGCTTCCCTGAACCGTAGTGCCGCGTGAACGGAGCATATTCACGTTTGTTGTGTGTTGTGGTTATTGGCTTCGTCTGGTTTTTTTTTTTCGTTCTTTTGCCTTTGTTTGATTTTTATTCTTATTTTATGTCAATTATCATTTTGTTCTCTGCGCCTTTTTTTTTCGTTTATTTTAATAATTTCAGTTTGGATGGTATTTTTCCCACTTTCAAGGAGTTTTCAACATGCATGGGGGCGGTGATGGCGGGATCACTGTGCGGGAGTTGCTGCAGTCGTGGTTGCCTCCGAATACGAGGCTGGTGGACGCCCTTGAGGGTGTTAGGTCGCTGATAGGGATGAAGGAGCTGCAGGGAATGCTGGCGTTTGTCCCACTGCATGCCGAGGTACTCAAAAGGGATGGAGCCGGCGTCGGTGCGGCCTACCTAGCGGGGGAGAAGTTCTTGAAGGCGCTTGCGTCCGAATACGCCTTCCTTTTATTTCCCAAGGGAGACAGCTCTAAGCTTACCAACGTGGCGCGTGTACTCCTCTCCTCTGACACGTTGGACCCGGAGTTGGTGAAGTTCCTCGGCACCACGTTGGCGGCACGCAAGGTGCTCCTGCCTTTTTTGGCGCTGCTGGTGTGGGCGAGGGGCATTCCTGCGGCGTCCTCCCTCCTACTTCCCGTGCTGCGCAGTGTGATGTGCACCGAGGAATACGCGGTGTCATTGCCAGCTGTTTTGTCCTCGTTCTATCCCGGGGAGTCGTTTGCTCGGCTTTCACACGAGCAGCAGATTGAGTTGGTGGTGAATGGGTTGGAACGGCGTGGGGTTCGCGTGTCGCGGGAGGCGGAAGTGTCGAATCCGAATGAGGGTGTCGAGGTGCGTTACACTGTGCGGGTGAAGCGTGGGGAGGGAGCCGAGTCGTGCCAGAAGGGGGTAACGCTTGCTAAGTTCTATGGCATTGTCATGGACGAGGGGAAGAATGTTTTGCGTGGAAAATTGCGCAAAAAGATGCTGAATGCGCAGCTTACATTACGCCCGGCTGATATGAAAGTGTGGATGCGTAAGATTCATCGCCTGCTGCGCTTTCACCCTCCGTACAGGGACACCCTGCCGCAGGACTTTCTGGAAAATGTGAATCACTGCGAGGGATGGATGCCGCTGAGCGAGATGCACCGCATCCTGGAAGCGTATTCGGTGGAAGCGTGCAAGCCTATGCCATCGCTGGAGATGCTGCAGAAGCTGCTTGAGAACCACGAGCACTTTGAACGGTATGAGGTGGACGTTTGCAGGGTTGATGGGGGCGCATTTGAGGGTCAGTTGTGCGCCCGTGCACGGTACGCCCATCGGGGCTTTGCATCAATATCCACACGCATCTTTGAGAAGTTTGTGACTGTCACGGAACCGAACGCGTGCCCCACCTACGCGTGGGTCCCCTTAAATGAAAAGAAGCAGCTCGACCCCGGGCTTCGCAAGGGGTTGTACATACTGCACCAGGACATACAATTTGTTTCGCTGTTTTCTTTGGAATCACTTGAAAAATTCAGCCTGTACCAACTGCAAACGCCACGGGAAGAACAGTACGACGAGAAGCTGGGGGTGAGCAGGCCGTTGCACTTTTTAGAGCTTTGTCTTCGTGCGGCGGTGCGGGATGCCAAGATGAGGGTGCTCCAGGCCTCACCGCGGGGGGAGGCTGCGGCGCACTGGTACCTCTTCTCGACCCGAAAGGAAGATCCCGCGAAGGAGCATTTGCAGATCCCACGGTATTATTTTACGGGCCGTGTGGCAACGCTGTGCCGCGGCGAGGCTGAGCAGGAAGACGGGACTGCCACGACGGCAGAAGAAGAGTATCCCACGGGCATGGTCTTCAGCTGGTGCTGGTTTTTGAAGAACACCAATCACGATGGTTTCTCGGTTGAGGAGGTGAATCGCATATTTGGCTCCGACCGGACAGATGTGAGCAACGACGAAAGCGGCGAGGGGGCGGCGGCGGAGGAGGAAGAGGAAGAGGAGCCTGTGCTCTCCAATAGTCCTACCGTTATGCCGTCGCTGGATATCAAAGGTGCGCAGGTGACAGTGCTTAACTTTGTGCGGAGTCCGGAGCTGATAGTCACGCGTGTCTCGTTCCCAAAGCATCCGCCCGACGGAGGCTTTTTTTGGGGGCGTCGAAAAAATATTGCCCTGTTTAAGAAGTGGGTAGTGGATCTGGGGCTTCGGTGTAGTAGCCTCCCTTCAGCGGATGACACCCAGGAGGAGCTGTACCAGATCAGTAGGCGTGGTCTTTGGGACCAGAACTTTATTGACAGCATTGTGAAGGAATTGGAGCTGGAGGACATTCCGGACCGCAAGGTGCTTTTGCAGGCGTTGACCCGTGAGTGTGAAAACAAGGAAATGAACTACGAAGTCCTGGAGTTTGTTGGCGACGCTGTGATGGACTTTTTGGTGGCGTTCGACAGTTTCCTGCTGGGGGAACCCTGGAATACACACGTCATCGCAGAGCTATGCTCCAATGAGCTGCTTGCTCATCTCATCCCTGTCTCGCTGAGTAAAGCACTCTCTCAGGTTTATGTGGACCTGCACACGAAGGTGAAGGCGGACATGGTGGAGGCCATTCTAGGTGCTGTGTACCGCAGTCACATGGGGCTTGACAGGGTGCGTCAACAGCTACGGCACTTCTTCAGCTGCATCCCCGCCGCTCTAGCGGAGGGGCCCCGGGGTCTATCCCCACAGAATCTGCTGGAGCAGGCGGCAGCAGCCTGTCCATACCTTCGCAGCGACACAGAGCTGCTGGAGGAGCGACACAAGTACGCCTGCTCCACATTAATTGATGAACGGAGCGCTGCGGTATTCGTGACCTCGGCAACTTCTTCCCTTGGCGGTCACCACATGAGCCACTATGCCTCAATACCGTTCAAGCGCATTCAGGACAAGGCATACGCGACGCACTTCACCACAGGCAAGGTGTACTCCTACCGGCGAATTTCTTCCATCGACGTCCCCGCGCTGTTCAACCGGATTCTGGACGCCTTTGCCAACAGCGCAACTGCCTTTGCCAACGAAATCATTACGAAAGAAACGCACCTTACCATCGATGTGGATGGACTAAACGTCACCTCCTGCGGCATTTCGAAGATGATTTGGGAGTGGTTTTGCAGCACATTCGCATCCCACTCGGCGATGCTTCTCCTGGACTGCTCGGGCATGTCCGTTGTGTCGAAGAAAATGAAGCACTCGTGCCACATCCACTTTCCACAAGCAGTCACAAGTCTACAACGACTGCTGCAGCTTATAACTGATCTCCGAAAGCACATTGTGAGGAGGCTGTCTCATGCGACTCGGCTTGGTGATGTCCTCGGTTTCTGTGGGACGAAGGGAAGCGAGGAACCCACGGCTCTCATTGGGAAAATTGTTTTCGCGATGCGTTGTGACCCCCACAAAAAAGATATCTGTGAAGATCCTGTCTTGGACTGTCTGGATCTGCGTGGTATGCTGTGTCTTGGGGAGACCTGTGCTGCGATGCGGCGGCATGTCTATTCCTACCTCACTAGCGTGGCGAGGCGGCCTTCCAAAAAGTCACATTTTGTCAGGTTGGTCCCCAACTCTCGTTGTTTTGGAGAAAGCAGCCTCGCCAGCGACCATGATGTTCTCATGAAGGTGCACTGGGCCTCAGAGGATGCAGCCGATGTGATTGGCGAGTTTATTTGGTGTCCCGCGAGCAGGCTGGTGGAACTCAGCGAGGAGTCGCTGGGCGTGGTGGAGTCTGTGGGGCACGTAGTGGATGGAAAGAAAATGAGGCCAAAGGAGTTCTTTATCGAGCAAGTCACGCTGTTGCAGAAGAATAGTTTCTTTGCACCGGCGTTTTGGGACCGCGTCATTGATACGTCACTGGTGAAGAGCCGAAAGCTGCGGATGTACCTGAACGACAAGTATGACACGGTGTATGGTAAGGAGTACCGCCCACTCTTCCTGGACACCGTGTTTTGCTCCCAGGGCACAATAGGAGCCGTGCGGCCTGACAATAGCGCTTCTGGCAGCGTTATGCGAAGCCCCACAGGTGCCTCGAACGATGAAGAGATGGACCAATACCCTGTCGAGATTGCACACGCATCACTTCTGCGCCTTACCTCCATCCGTTGCCCTGAATACCGCGATGTGCAAGGGTTGAGCCGACATGCCTGGTGGGACGGCTGCAATGACGACGACAACTTTGGCAACTTTGACGGCATTGAGGCCATCGATGACCGACTGAAGTCCTTTGAGGATTACCAGGCGTGTGACGGCGTCCCTGGCGCTGACTGGGCCCTTTGGATTCACGCCGTTTTCGGAATATTGGCCAGTGATGCCAAAAACTTGTTGGGGAATGAAACGACGAAGACGGCGGCACTGCAGCCTGCGTACTGGAAATTTGTGGAGGGGACCCGTCAGGCGCATTTTTTGGTGGCGGGGGAGGTGATGCTTGCCGTTGGCCCCTGTGAGTCCCTGCAACAGGCTCTGGAGCAGAAGCACGGCATGGAGACAATGACACGATGCCTAGTCCCCAACATCACGATAAAAGAGGCGCCGATTGACCCAAGGTGGCTGACGGCGTACGCAAAGGACGTCTTCCCGTTATTTCTTGTCCTGCGCAAGAAGCCCGTCGTCTCCGCTGCGGCCCACACAGAACAGGTTGGGCCGGGGATTAATACTGCCTCCCTAATCACCGCGACAGGCACGAGCATCAACGGTGGCTTGACCGAGATGGAGCGGCCAGCAACAGCATCACCCAACGGCGGTCTGCCAAACAGGTTGAGGTCTTCCCCTGAAAGGATGGTGCGTCTGCTTCTAGACAACATGGATGGAAGTGACCGGTTCATCGACCAGGTCTATGCGGCGATTGTGTCGGCGTTTCGCGGACCGTACCGTCCCTCGTTATTTGTCACTTCCGAAAAAAAGTTGTTTTTGTTTCTTTCAAAACATTTTCCCTGCGTTGTGTCTCCTCAATACTTTACAGCGTGCGCCGTGACAGGAGTCCGTCGCTGCGCACAGCATGTATTTGCTTACATCTTTGTTATTGATTATACGGTCAATCCGTACCGTAATGAGAGTCTCGTCGCGGCAATGTGGGAAGGCCTCGCAGTGAGAAATGGACGGGTGTATGCCTCCAGCGAGGCCATCCGACAGTGTCTTCTTTTGTAGCCTCACTGTCGTCGACAACAATGACAACAAGCATTAGTAACGCCTTTTTTTTGTTTTGTGATTGCTGCGTGTGTGCTGCTAGACTCATTCACCAGGCACGGACACTCACCTACTCACAAGCACACGTTTGTTTATGTCTCTCCATTTGTGGCTGCCGTAGTTTTGTGCCTCTTCCAACTTTTGTGACTGTCATGTGTTCTCTCGTACCTCCGCTATTAGAGACGCCAGGTTGTTTTTCATCTGAATTGAATATTGTGTTAGGTTAAAAACAAAAGGACATGGCAATGCACACTGGCTACGCGTTCCACAGAAGTGAAGGCTCCCCTCACATCCTTCAGCTTCCAGCGGCGTGTTTTGGGTGTGGAGGATGAAAACATTAAAGCTCGTGCTCTGTGGGGCGTGTCACAGCGACAGCTCACCAGGTACGTGGTGAGTAGGGTGGGTCCCTGCCTCCGATGGTGCTGGGCCACGAGATTACTGGCCATGTGTAACGTCGGTTCGTGTGAACGTCAAGAGGCTAAAGGTGGGCTGCATTGTGGACTTGTGTCAAGAGTGTGTGACTGCAAGTGGGGGGCCTGAGCAGATAACGGCGATTGAGACCACTCGCAGGTGTAATGGTCAACACCGTTGGAAACAAGCATGGCTTGTCGCCGTGCAATTCTCCTCTCACAACGGGCGATGTTCACGCACCAGTTGGGATGCCGGAGGAAACGCGCCCACCCATCTTGCCCGCTCTGGGCGGGCTGTTGAATTTTGGGATTCTGGCATGAGGTGGCGGTGACTTGTCGTTTCTCTTTCTTTTGTTCTGACCTATGTTTTCCCCGTTTTTTTTTTGCCCCCATTGCACGACAATGGCGCGTCTGTCGCACTACACGGGAGGCGGGTTTCGTGTAGTTTGTTTGTTGCCTGGAGGGCTCAGCGGTGGTTGCTTGCGTTTTACCTGCTGTCTCTGCCGCTGTTATGCAAAATAACGGGGGGAGGGGTCGTTATTCTCTTTTCTTCCAGTTTGCGTGGGTGTGTTTTTTTTTTTGAGACGTACCGTTTTGTTGTGTGTGTTTGTGTTTGTTTGAAAATGCATGATTTTAGGAAGGCATGCCTCCTTTGGATGGCTGCATGGCTTGTCGCCCTCGTCACGCTGCCACGCGGGGTGCAGGGTGAAGGCGCGAGGCAGATGCCACGCGATTTCCCCTTTTCCATGTCTCAGGAAAACTTTTGGATGCTCGTGCCCGGCGCGGACCGGCGTGGTATTGACGCTCGCTACGGTGTGAATGTTGCTGCAGTGGAGGACGCGAACGACACGTGCAAGAATGGGGGCACGATGAACGCGGGTGACTGCGAGTGCCCCGAGCCTAACATGTTTGATGGTTTGCGTTGTGAGATGTGCCAAAGCGGGGCGGCGTGTGCCGCCTACGTCGGCGAGCCCCACATGTGTCACCGCGGCCTTGCCGTTCGTGGGTCAAACAAACAGTTTGAGTGCTCCCTTGACTCGCCGTTTTTGGCTGTGCTCGGCGGTGGCCGCAAGGTGGAGGCGGTTGTCACGCTGAACTTCAGCACGGAGGACGCCACTGCCTTCGCCGCTGGCAGTGACGGCGTGTGCGACATCACGCTCTTCCGAGTTGAGCCCAACCACGAGCTGGTTGATGCCTTTTTTCGCTGCACCACCTCCCAGTGCTCCATGCGGCTGGTGGCGGAAGGGAAAAGCGAGGCGGAGAGCAACTCCGCCTCTTTGCGCCGTACCTTTAAGGTGCTGACATTGGTGGGGCAGGTGGTGCTCGTCACTCTGTGCACACTGGTTGCCTTGCTGCGGTGCGTGTCGTCGAAGCTTGGCTACCGCCGTACGGCAAAGATTGTGGTTGGCCTGGGGGCCGCGTTGACACTCGCCACCGTGCTCTTTATTACTGTGCTGCTTGTCTGCATGCGCTCCAAGGAACCCGACATCTTTGCCGTGTACGAGTGCAAAAGCACCGACTGCCACTGCGCCGAGGACCCACCGTCCAAATACACACCCATCTGCTCAAGGTCGCTCATCCACGATAAGATTCTGCCGCTCATCAAGAACAGCGTCCACTATTCGTGCAACCTGCGGACGCGCCACTGTCAATTGACACTCGCCGACATCGCTCTTGTCTTTGACCTTCAGTGCAATGCCAGCGAGTGCGTCAACACGAAGCAGTTCCCGACCGAGCCGACGATGGCTCAGCCCGAAATTTTGCAGGCGCAGCGCAGTCTTCTCATTCTGCTCATCCTCGCGGTCATGGTCGTGGTCGTCACGATTGCAGCGCACGCGGTACGGCTCGCCGCCGTATCGAGGCAGAAGGCTGCAGAGTTTGTGCGCATATTTGGCCTCTCTGAGCCGATGTCGGAAACTGTGCGTCCCATGGATGACGATGTAATCAATGGCAACAGCAACGGCACGGCTGTCAACACCCTGCGGCACCAAGCACGTTCCCTGAAGGGCGAAGCTGTGGAAGAGGTTGATGACGCCTTTGGCTGCGATGAGGTCCTTGGACTGGCCTTCCATGGGCGTTCCGGCGTGTCCCACGCGACGAGTGGTGCAAGACGCTGTTTTGTCGCTAAGCCGGGCGAGGTGGACCGCATTGAGTTCTTCCGGTATCTCACGAAGTCACCCTTTGAACTTCAGCTAAAGGACTTGGCCTACACCCTGCCGGGATCCCGCTTGGCCGCAGAGGAGGAGGCACAAGCGCGTCCGATTCTGCATCGAGTAAACTTTACCGTTCACTCCGGCGAGGTGCTGGCCATTCTTGGCCCTTCTGGAGCCGGCAAAACAACTTTGCTGGACCTCTTGTCCGTGCGACGAAAGCAGGGTGTGACGACGGGAACCATTTCTTTCAACGGCACCCCCATCACCACAGCCGGGGCTAAATTTATCAAGCAGTACCGCAACATCATTGGGTACGTTTCACAGGAGGACACGCTGCTCCCAGCACTGACCGTACGCCAGACGATTGAGTACGCGGCGCGACTGAAACTCCCGCAAGCCTTTTCCAATACGACCATTAAAAGTATTGTGCGGCATATGATAGAGGCACTGAAGCTGCAGCAGTGTGAACACACCGTCATCGGCGATGGCAGCGGGCTCCGTGGGGTAAGTGGGGGGGAGAAGCGCCGCGTCTCCATCGCAGTGGAATTGCTCGCGAACCCTCGTATTCTTTTCCTAGATGAACCTACAAGTGGCCTGGATGCGGTCAGTGCCAAGCGGGTCGTCGAGTCGGTGGTGGAGTTGGCGAAGGAGTCACCGATGCGGGCGTATGCGCCACACTACTTTGCCTTCAAGCCCCTTGTCATCTTCAGCATTCACCAGCCATCGCAGGAAATATTTGAATTGTTTGACAAACTCCTCTTGCTCTCTCGCGGCGTGAGCGTGTACTGCGGACCAGCCCGCACCGCGGCAGCGACGCTTGAGAAGCGTCTAAAGCATATTATGGGCGATGAGCGGCCGATTCCCAGTCTCGAGGAACACCCGAACCACGCGGAGTACCTCATGAAGTTGGATGAAATTCTTGGTGATACCACCCGCATGGAGGTTCAGGCGGCGGGCGCAGGTGTCGCGCCGGAGTTGATGCTCCACGAGGGCACAGAATTTTTTCAGCAATCCCGCGAGTACCCTGGCGAAAATGGCGCTAGTGAAAGTGAACCGCTTGTTGTGGGTGAGGATATTCTCCGCACTACATCTGCCTTTCGTGTCTACTACTCGAACGTGTACCAGCAGCTCACACTCTTAACGTCACGGGCTGCGTGTTGTCTCATTTCATCCTTCCACTTGCTTGTGTGTCACGCTGCAGTGACGGCGTGTGTCGGGGTTCTTATGATGGTACTATATCACGAACAAGCGCTTGACCTGCCTGGGGCTTTGAACCGTGCGGGATCCATTACGTTTATGCTGCTGGTGGTTTCCTTCGTTTCCCTCAGCTGCTTGGAGCAGCTCGTCGCTGAGCGCAAGCTTTTCGTGCTAGAACGAGAGAACGGCTTCTACCAAACCCTGCCCTACCTTCTCTCGAAGATACTTATTGATATCATCCCGCTTCGCGTCGTTCCTGCGATGGTGCTCGCCTCACTCATTTATTTCCCTATGGGACTCCGCGTGGATAACGGGGTGCACTTTTTCTGGTTTGTTGTTATAGTCGTGCTTTTTTCCATCTGCATCACACTTGTCGTACTGTGTATCGGCATCGTCACCGGGTCTTTTGGGTCGGCGGCACTGCTGAGTAGCGTTGTCATTCTCTGGAACTTTGTCTTTGGTGGTTTCCTCGTACAGTCCGAGACTGTGCCGGTTGCGCTGCGACCCTTTCAGACGGTCTCGCCCTTCTTTCTTGCTTTCGAGGCGCTGCTTGTGAACGAGCTCGACGGGCAGGCGTGCACCTTCTCCCCAACCGACGAGACGGGGAAGCAGGTGGCGACGAGCATCCCGATCATGTGTGTGCAGTACCTGTCGAACATTGGCCTGAAGCCCACACGCTTCAACGGCGACGTCGGGCTGCTTGCAGGGTTTATTTTTGTCCTACTGGTCATCGCCTGGCTGTTGCTTGCGAGGTTCACCACCATTGTGCGGTGAGCCGCAGGGGCGAACGGGCGACAGACGAGGCGGACTGCAATACTTCTCCACCTTTTTTACGCTCTCTACCTCCACCGTGGGATGGGGGGAAGAATTGTATCGCTGGCTGCTGGAGAGCGTGCCCCCCCCGGGTGGGGGGAACAAGGCAGCGTGTGTTTGTCATCAAAGGGGGAAAAAATAAAAGGAAAAAGGCAAAGCAAAGCAAATGTTGTACATGTACAATGGCGCACAGTCAGCCTGCATGTGCCCCTGTTCAATGCATATGTTTATGACTGGCGGAAAGAAGAGGGTTTAGGAGAGGGCCTAGGTACAGGTGAGAAAGGGGATCAAGAAGAAAAAAAGGAGGGAGGGGGGATACACGGAAAGAAGGAAAGAAAGAGAATCGTCTCGTTCTCATTTGGTATCTCTCATTTTCTTTCTCCTTTATTTATTTCTGTGTTTATATGTTTTCATACGTGTTGGATTTCAGTGAGTGCTACGTCGTCTCTCCCTCTTGCTTTCTCCTCTGCTCACTCTGCAAAGCGGAGTGCCTCCGCACCCACACACGCACTCTTCCTTCATCCCTCCTTTACGTTTCTTTTATTGCCTGCGTTATGCCCCTCTGCCCCATCATTGCTCTCCCTCCCTTCTCCCCTCCTCACATGCACACATGCACAGGCCGCTGGCATGTCGAACACGTCTTTTCCCGCGCCCAAGTCCAACGAGTACCAGTGGCGCAACTTGTACCTAAAGAAGTATGGCATCTGCACCTACGCCCCACCGATGCCAAAGAACCCGGAGACTACCGGCGCCAACGCGCCAAGCTCATCATCATGGCAAAAACATAACTATGGAGACAGCACCAGCCTGCACAAAGCCCCCACCTCTGGGAATGAGGTGAACCTGTCGAGCGCTTCTAATCTGTCTGTGCCAACGTCGAGGCAAACACATAGTGCACAATACCGGCAGGGTTTGCAGCGACCTTTTGTTGAGCTTCGACAGGGCTTATCCGGCTTCGAGCCGTTGAGGATGCTCAGTGACCAGGAACTCTTCTCGGCGAATGTCTTCTCGTTTTTAAATCGACGCGCCAGTGGATCAACGTCGTCGCTGATACCGCAAACCTTAGCGGAGTCGGATGCTTCGAGGGGTGTGAAGTTTCCCTCCATTCTGCGCGGCTCTCTCCCGATCCAACAGAGTGGGACGATGCGGCAGCAGGGGAAATCCATCGACGAAGAGAGGAATACGGCTGCGGTCCCAGCGAAGGCTCTGCTGCGTCTTCAGCGCGAGACCTGGCAGCTGCTGATGGACAATCGTATCATGGTTTGGTTTGAGCGGGAGGCGAAAAGCCGTGGGCGCATCACGGCCAGTGTTCAACAGCGCCTGCTAGAAGTTGTCACGTGGAATCCGGGCGCCCAAGGCAAACCCCCTGTGAAGAAAATCACTGACGATGATGTGAAGAACTCATTTACCGCGGAGGAAGTGACAGTAAAAGATGAAACCGTGAATAAGTTTGCTACGTTTCCTGCAGTCACCTCCGCTAACTGTGGTCATACTTCCGAGCTCCTTTCCACCTCCATCAACACCAACGACACCGGGAAGTTGGGGGATGAAGAGAAACTCATGCGGACACTGGAGCAGTTTGCCCCCTTCTTTGCTGTTATTTGTCCACCTGAGGCGATTGAGAGAGTGGCAGGCAGCGTGGTCGTGACAAGAGGTCGTCGACGACGCGGTGAGGTTCCCAGCATCGTTGGTATCCCACTCTTTAGCCAGTATGCCACCTGGCGTGAAGCGTATGAGAATCGGCTGATATGGAACTTGGCACCCTTCAGTTTTTTCCTCATTCACGATCAAAGCTACAATCACGCCCATATTGCGGCACTGTATGTGCTGCTGGATCTTATTGGCAGCAATGCACATCTCCACACAACAGAGTGTGTGATGGGTGAACGTCAACCAAAAAATATCACCAAGAGTCGATCGCGAAAAAGCCGCACCGCAAAGGAGATAGCACCGGAGCCGTCGTTGTGTCCGTTGAATGTTGCGCAGCAGCTTACAGAGGACCTCCTCCTCGCCTATGAGCACAGCGGGTCACGAACGACGCTGTTGATGGCCCTCGACGTTCAGGAGTTTCTTTTAGACCTTGTCCTTGACCCTGAAACTGCCTCGTCCTTCCTGAGCACTACCGCCTTGCGACGTCAGTGTGGAACTGAGGTGGCTGTCAGGGACGGTGAGGCTGGTGGCTCTACGGTGAAGCAGGGTGAGAATGAGGTCTCTAGGGAAGACCTGGAAGATGGGACTGCGAACGAGGGGGAAACGGAACCGCAAAAGCAAGGCAAAGAAGGGGAGGAAGGGGCGGGTGTCACACCCGCCGACGAAGCCGAGATAGTGGACTGGAGTTCCTTGAAGAAGCTGAACGCCGCCACGTTTGATGAGCTCTTTGTCCTCGTCAACTGGTTTGTGGACGCGCCAACCGCGAATAGCCTTATTCCTCATGAACTGCAGACCGCATCAACCACGCCCATTCCTTCTCTCCGCACAAGGAAGGGGACCCTCGGTCAAAACACTAGCACCAGCGCAATAATCTCGCACGAAGGCAGGAGGAGCGCGTCCCACCATGCCCTCTCTGATATGAGTACGCAACCGAGTAAAGAGTGTGGCTATATCATTGGCAGGGTACGCGAGTATGATGCCACCATGTCTGTTGTAGAGGCCATAACCCGCTATGAATTGCAGCGACAGCACATGACAGAACACCGGTTAGGTGAGCAACAACAAGGCATCTTCTCACCATCGGGTCAGAAGAGGCAGCGAAAGAAGCGTATTTTCACTAGCCGTGGTCCTACAGGTAATGAGTCTGTTGATATGTCAGACCTCCCTATTGGGGCAACGCTTCTCTCTGCACCAATCTCGTTTCTCACGACGTACATTCGTCTTCATGGAGCTCCTTGGTTGAAGGAGCTTCTGGGGCGTTTGTTTAACATCCTACGCCGCGAGAGCGTACTGTTGTATGTAAATGGATTAGAAATGGTCTCCTCCCACTGTGTCTCCCCGCAGGAACCGACCTCACCGTTGAGTCTAAGCGGCGACAGAAGCAACGACGGCATGCCGAGCTTTGGATACGAGAGTAATCGCTGGCGGTATTTGTGTCCAAGAGAAGCCGCTCATCATCAACGCCTGGGGCATCTGGAGGACCTCATCTGTCAAGACATTCAGTACGTCATGGAGGAGTTCTTTGGCACCCTGTTTGGCAAACGCTCCGTCACACGCCTGCCGCAGGGCATCTCCGTCTTGCTGACAAGCTTTTGTACAACAATTCATCTACATCTGCTGAAACAGCACGTTTCCATCGACACCTCCCTTGACAAACCTTCGATAAGTGTGCGGAAGTGTCTTGCAGAGATACGACAAAAACGCCTGACGGGTGGAGGCTCGTCCACCATGTGGGGTCACTGCCAACAGGACTCCACCGACCGGCTTATTCGAAGCATTGAGAACAACCGACTGGCGAAATTTATTTTGTTTGATTGCTGGATTCTGCCCGTCCTCAACAACGCCGTGGAGTTTGGGTACATCTCGGAGGGGTCTTCGAACCACCTCCGCTGGAACCTTGATGCCTTTGCGCGTTACCTGAAAATTGTCGTAAATGCCGCCATCGTCCCTACAGATAACACCGATGTGTACATTCATACCATCATCCCGGCGGCGGCGGCGGCGCAGCTACGCAGTGGACTAACGCCTCCCGTGGAACGAAAACCTCGCACTCAAAATGAGTTGCTGCTGCCACCCCGCTGTGACACCGTCAAGCTTCCGCCCCTCATCAATGGCATCTACGATGTTGTCTCTGGGTCGCTCATGCAGTTGTCCTGCGACCCTAGGGAGCAGGAGGAGGCGGAGGGGTGGGCAGAAAAGTTTACCTTTGGCGATGCATCCTTCACGATGAGTTCACCGGGAGCCAAAGACGCGGGGGCAAACAGCAGCTTGCAAGACGCCTACCCGCCTCGGAATGATTTATCGGCTGCCCTCAGCTCCTTAAACGAGTCTCTTGGCATCACCGGCGGCGACGCGGATATTGAGGTGTACGAAGACGACACAGATGTCACACCGGTACGAATTTTAAATATATTTTGCGCTCGAGCCTCCAGTGACATCTCCGCAAAGGTGGTGGTGACGGAGTACAAAGTTGCCCCCTCCGTAGCCGCGGCATGTGTGAGTAAATTTTTTTTACTTGCCTCCGGTGAGCATCCTCTCGTGCGGGATGCGTACCTCTCTGGCGCTTTGGTAGGACACTTCCGATTCTCGCCCTACCTGACATGCCTCATTGGGGTTCTCCTGCACCCCCGCACCGCCTCGAAGGTTCTCGAAAATGTCGCGCACAATAGTCGTTCGTTTTTTACCGCTCTTTTGAAGCCGCTAAAGGAGGAAGGTTTGTTGAACCTGATCTCGTCCCTGGTGGGGACACGCAAACGCATGACGCTGGTGGACTCCAATGAACTTATTTCCTTGATAGCGTCCATCCCTATGAAGGAAACGGAAACAGAGACGGATGATCTAACTAGCAGTGGAGCCGCTGAGAAAATGGAAGAAGCAAACAAGAGGAAATCAAAGTTCGCCTTGTGGGAAGCCGCAACACGGCGTCTTATGAGACAGCGCGCGCAAGCCACCACTGGGGAGATGCTTCGGGCGGAGGTGACGCTACACCCACTGCTTCGTCGAATAGGGCCAACGAATCCGTACAATTTCCTTCGCGCCACTGCAGACGCCATCGCACAAGAATTTTCTCATGTTCCCTCTTGCTTTGATACCTGGTGGCGTGCCATGGTCGTGGCCCTCGCTGTAAAAGTGATGAACGTTACTGAAGAGTGCGGCGACACAAAGTCCATGCAATGGGAGGAATGGTGCGAGGCCAAGATGCATGAGATGCAGCGCGAGTGTCGTAGCTTGTGCACGTACTTTACGCAGCACAAGGGGGGACGGATGGACATCAGCGGCGCAAAGGCGCTGTCGTACACGAAGGAAAAGAGCCAACGCTCAAACTCTACAAGTGTGTTCGTGGCAAAAACTCCAAAGGGACGGTCCACAGAGGATCCGAAGAAAGTTAAGAAGAGGCAGGGCAGCTCTACGCCGAAGAAGAAGAGGCAGGGAAGCTCCGCGCCGAAGAAGAAGAGGCCGGCGAAAGCAGTCGCTTTGGTCCCAAAGGCACCGGCATAAACAAGGAATGAAAGGATTCGTATGGAACACTAAAGTGGGAGGTGAAGAACGAATAAATGTTGCGTGATTCGTCTTGAGTTTGTCCGTGTGTGTGTGTGTGTGTGTGTGGTTTGCATGTTTGTTCTACGATGTACAGAAAAGTATAAAGAAAGGGAGTTTGATGGGGACATGTCTTTTTAATGTTTTGCTATCCAACTTGTGTGTGGGGGCCGTGCCCTTTGAAATGGGTGGTACCTTTTGCTCGCCTTACTGCTGCTGCTTTTACTGGCTGGCTGGTGTCAACTGGGTGGGGGGTGGGGGGGGTGGTGCTTTTTTTTTCTCTTTGTGTGTCACGCCGTGCGAAGGAACAGTGGCGAGGCGAAGAACTCCCGCGTCATGAGTCTCAGCCGCAGTCACACCGATGAGGATGAGGAGGAGGCGGGGGCGCCGCCCATCGTAAGTGCTGTCACAGCTGCCTTTGTGTGCAGGTTGCGCGAGGCGGAGGCACTCCATTACGCTGCAGGCCTTGACACCTTGGCAGCTATTCGCTGCGTGCAGATGTATGCGGAGGCGCTCACAGGGCTGGCTGCTCTTGGGCGAGTGCAACGCAACAGCAGCAGCAGCAATAACAACGGCGCTAGCCACGCGCAATGAAACCGGGACGCAGACGGAACGTCCGTATTTATTTATTTCTCCCACATTCCCTCTCACAGAGCCCCCTTGTTTGACTGCGTGTGACTATTTGTTATGGTCACAGCTCTTTTAATTGTTATTGTGGTCATATATATAAATATATATATTCTTTGTTTCTGCGTCGATCGTGGCTGTCCACCCCGCAGTTATCTCTCTCTCTCTCTCTCTCTCTCTCCCATCAAACGCATCCATACACCTCCCGTATCTGCGCCGATAAGCATGTGATTGTGAATATATAGATAAATACATACAGGTACAAATACCGTTTCCGCATTACAACCGATACAACGCAGAAGCTGAGAAAGAGAGCATGATGTCGCAGGGAACTAAGAAAGAATACTCAAGCCAGGTTATACCCTTTGGTGAGGGGCACAAAATCACACTCACCTCACCGAACCTGCGCGTGGAGTTGCTTACCCTGGGCGCCACCGTCTCCTCTGTGCAGTACCGCGTGCCGCAATTGGCAGGTAAGGACGTTGCTGACAAAGATGGGTGGGTGAACGTCACCCTCGGCTTCGACGAACCAGAGGAGTTTGTGAAGGACACAGCCTGCGTTGGCCGCACCTGTGGCCGCTACGCGGGTCGAATTGTCAATGGTGAAATTCAACTAGATGGGAAAACTTTCAAGCTGCTCAAAAACGACGGCGAAAACACGCTGCACGGGGGACCGGATGGGTTCTCGTCCCGGCCTTGGAAGTACATCATGCTTGAGGGAGAAGAGGAGATTGGCATTTCCTTTCACCTCATCTCGCCTCACCTTGACCAGGGATTCCCCGGGGAGCTGTTCGTCACGGCTACCTACGTCATTCTGAAGAACCAACCTGCGTCGCTCAAGTGGAATCTGCAGGCGGTCTTAGCGGACGCCACCCCGGTAAACTCCACGACCGTCAACCTTTGCAATCACACGTATTGGAACCTCAACGGGGTACCGGCGGTGCCGCGCCGCCTTCCAGAACCCGTCACAAATCACTGTCTGCAGCTTCACTCCGGCTACGTGGCCGAGTTGAACGGGACCATCCCTACCGGTTCCATGAAGTCAGTGGAAGGGACGCCGCACGACTACAGAAAGAGTCACTCGATTCTTGCGGGCATTGAGGCAACGCGGGCTGAGGGTCGCGACCCACCAGGCTACGATGACCCGGTTGCTCTCGACACGTGGGACTCCCAACTGCATGAGGCAGCCCGCCTCTTTAGCCCCAAGACTGGCATCAGCCTGCAGGTGGATACAACGTCGCCGGCGGTGGTGGTGTACACTGCGAACTACCTGCCAGTGAATGCCAGTGGGGAGGCAGGTGAGCGGTTCCAGCAGCACAGTGGCATCTGCTTGGAGACGCAGTACTTCCCCAACTCGCCCCAGATCCCCAATTTCCCTAGCACAGTGATCAAGAAGGGCGAAAAGTACCATGAGACCACCATATGCCACTTCAAGTTTACTCCGCAGGATTAAGGCGAGGGGGTGGCAATTCTTTTTTTTTCTTTTCTTTTTGTTGTTATGTATTGTTTTGGTTGTTTTTGTTTTGATTTTATTTTATCTTTCTTTTTTTGTTATTTCCCTTCTCTCTCTCTGTCTCTCTGTCTCTCTCTCTCTCTGCGTGTGTTGAATCTTCTTAGGGGGATTCGGGCCGGATGACAGACAGCAAAACAGACGCACAGGGGAGAGGGAGGGCAACTAGGGGGTAATTGCGAGGAGAGAATGTGGGGGGTCTTTGTGTATGTGAGGTGAGGAGGGGCGGGCAGGCCTCCCTGCGGGTCACAAACGTTGTTTGCAGACCGGACCTTGACGAATAGGAAATGAAGAGAGAGGGAAGTAAAAAAAAAAAAACAAGCGAACAACGATAAACATGAATTCAAAGACCTCCAAGGCATTCAAAGGTTTTGCTCATGGTGATCACAAAAAGGCCGGAAAAATAAAAAGCAAAAAAGCCAAATAGGAATAAAAACGAAAACAAAAGACAAAACGTTTTTTTAGTAATTTTTT